TCTGACTGACAGCAGGCTGCTCTCCTGGGCTGGTGGCTGCAGATTGTGGGTCAGAATTCTGTTTTCAAATTTAGTCTGAAAAAAAAAAATTTAGTCTGGCTGCTGTCCATTTGTATATTCAATTTCTCACTCCCCTCTACCACCTGACTCTAAACCTACTTCCTTCACAACAGGACACATTTCCTTACTAGGGTTTTATAAGAACCCAGATAATTTAATCCCTAATGAAGTAACTGAACAAGCAAGCAAACACCCTTGGAAGTGCATTACTTTTCTGTTAACCAAAAGAAGCATCTTGAAAAGTTCTTTATGCATAGGTCAGCTAGAAGATGTGAAGCAATATTTTGCAATATCATGCTTATAGTTGCTGCAAATGCGAAATTATCCAGGGTCACAGATATCGGTTCCCTATGCTGAAAGTCCCACTCAAGTGTATGAACACAGCGACACTCCTAGCACCAACAAGGTTAGTATCCTGAAGCATCATTATTCTCACCTTCTAATCCTTAACGCTGGTTGCTGAGTCAGGCGGCGGTGCCCAGCGACAGCATGAGAAACACTAGAAATAGTAGGTGATTTGGTGAGGATGTTCATCAAGGACCTCAGTGCAAAATGGAACGTCTGAAAACTGGAATGGATAATACCCGAGCAACACGGTTATTCGTTTCAGTCACAGTTTATTTAGCATTTTGGCTTCTGGTTTCTAAAGTTCTGAGACAGACTAAATTAGAAAAATATATGCAAAAATGTCCTCGGGTTCAGTAGAGCTTATGGGTTGGAAATGCTAACTTTTGCATCGGAGACCTGAATTTGAGCCTTGTGTCACTTAGGACGAAGATCTGCTACACATAACTTAAAACCCCCCATAACCGAGGCTGAAACAAGGTAGGTTGGAAACATCCAGAGGAAGACCACTGGGGCTGGTGGGGGCATTTTGGTGTCTCCAGGACCCAGGCTCTTCCATCCTTAATGCATGGTTTCCATCTTTAAGGTCACCATCAAAGATGGCTGCTGCAGCACCGACCTCTATGTGTCTGTTCCAGGTCAACAAAAGGAGAAAAGAGAAAGAACATAAAGGCACACCCTCCTTTCATTCTCACTTTCTGGAATTCTCACATATCATTATCCAGAACGTATAAACATGGTGCCACCCCTACCCACAAGGAGAGTTCAGAAATGTACCTTTTTCATGTCCATGTTATTAACCCTTGAAAATAACCCCTGAATATACCCGGGGTTCAGTTACTGAACAGGAAGGAGGTATTCGGTAGACCATTAAGTTGGGTTCCCCAGAAGCAACTTCCGGGATGAGTATATGTGTTAAGGTATTATTGGGAAACAGGTTCAGGAAAACGGTAGGGCATGGAGATCATGATCAGGAAAGGAGGAATCTGAGCAAAGACATGACACAAGCCTACTCCTACCAAGGGCAACCTTGGCCAGACCACTGGGAGCTCTGGGGACAGACAGTACAGCATCAACTCAGAAATGTTCTGATCAGGGATCAGGGGAGTCAGAGTATTTCCATGTTCATGTCCATCACTCATTGGTGAGGGCAGCATGTGTTCCCAGGGGCGCTGGCTCTACAAACACAGCAAAGTGAACCCCAAAGCTTGAGGACAGCCCTGTAACTAGAAGGCCATTGCTGGCTGTTGGGAGTAAGAGTTCATCCATAAGCAGTCTTTTGTTTGTCCACTTGTCTATTTGGAACTCAAATCAAACAAGAATGTTGCACCTACAAGAAAAGAGAACAGATCGCTGATATTTGGACCTATGAGTTTTTGTGAACAGTGGCCAAAAATGGTGGGCTTGAAGCTCTAAGCTTTCTATGGATACTTATGTCTGTGTGTCTGTAATTCAGAAAGACCTCTATCTTTCATTGTGTACTTGATGTTTTCCTATCTCTACCTTTTGGCTACTATGAATAAGGTTGCTATGCACATTCTTGCACAAGTTTGTGTGGACATATGTTTTCGTTTCTCTTGGGTATATATCTAGGAGTGGAATTGCTGGATCATATGGTAACACCATGTTTACTATTGGGTTGTCGGAAAAGTCATGACACATGTTTGCAACAGATGGCACTAGTTCACTTTTGGAAGTATTAGAGTCATTCACATCTATGTTATTGCTATGTCATTTGACAGCTGACAGTTATAGCTTCATTCTAAAAAAAAATTGAGCGATTTGGTTGAGATACAGAGATTTTACAAGTTGAAGATGGAAGACCAAACTGTGCATTTTTGCCATATTTTACTGTTTTACTTCCATAAAGGGAAAAACACTCATCAAGCTTGTGAAAAGTTGCATAAAGTTTACAGTGACAATGCTCTACAAGAACATCAGTGCCAACGATGGTTCACGAAATTCTGTGCTGGTGATTTTGATCTCAACAATGCTCCTCAGTCAGGGAGGCCCACCGAAGGTTGATGACAACAAAATAAAGGCATTGATCGAGTCAAACCCACGTTACATGACACGAGAGATTGCAGAAACATTGACCATCCATCATTCAAGCATTCACGACCACCTGAAAAAAGCTGGGATATGTAAGCAAGCTCGATATTTGGGATCCGCATGAACTCAAAGAAGTTCATTTGATGGCGCATATAAACACCTGCAATATGCTCATTAAATGTGAGGAAAACAATCCTTTTTTGAAGCGACTGATAACTGGTGATGAGAAGTGGATTGTTTACAACAATGTGGTGTAAACAGTCTTGGTCCCAACGTGATGATTCGCCTTAAACGACATCGAAAGCAGACATTCATCAGAGGAAGGTTATGCTGTCAGTGTGGTGGGATTTTAAAGGTGTCGTGTTTTTCGAGCTCCTACCAAGGAACCAAACAATCAATTCAAATGTGTACTGTCAGCAATTGGAGAGTTTGAACGAATCTATCATCCAAAAATGTCCAGAGCTTGTTAATTGTAAAGGAGTTGTGTTCCATCATGACAACACGAGACCACACACAAGTTTGATCACCCGTCAAAAATTATTGGAGCTTGGATGGGATGTGTTGCTACATCCACCATACTCGCCTGACCTTGCGCCATCAGACTTCCACTTGTTTCGCTCTCTACAAAACTCCTTGCGTGGTATAACGTTCAATTCAGATGAGGCTGTAAATCAGCACCTTGTTCAGTTTTTCACAAATAAAGACAGATCCTTCTATGAACAAGGAATTATGAAGCTCACTGAAAGATGACAAAAGGTTATCGAACAAAACAGGCGATATATCACTGATTGATCTTTGTTCTTTATATAAATAAATGACCTTTGTAAAACAAACAAAATACGTCATGACTTTTCCGACAACCCAATATTTTTGAGAAACTGCCAGACTGTTTTCTAAAGTGGCTATACTTTTCTCTAAAAATAGCCCTTTTTTGATTTCTAGATCTTTTTGATGCTGAAAGCTCCAAGCATTTAAATATGTTAACATTGATTGAGCTTCCACAACGACCCTAAGAGGCAGGGGTTCCTATCCCATTTTAGAGATGGGGAAATAAATCTCGGAGAGATGTGGCAGCTTGCTCAACATCACTTAGCCGGTAAGAGGCAGCCCTGGGATCAAACTCAAGCCACCCACCCACCAAGCTCCCTCTTTTCCCTCTCAATCCATTGACCCCTCAGGAGGTGCAGTGACCGGTGGGCTCTTCCCTTCCTCCACAGGCCTGGGAGTGTCATGGAAACTTTCTCCACGGGGTTCACAGGTCTCTCTCTTCTTTCTGCCCCAATGGTCTCCCAGGCTTTGTGCGGTGTGTTGAATATGAATTGGAAGAAGGCAAGACCTGATCCCCAAATCCTAGAGTCTCTGGACTTCCCAGAGCTAGATGGAGACAACACCCAAAGAACGTTGGCCTTCCCGTGTCCCTTGGACCAGCGAGAGCACATGCCTGGGGAAAACGAGGAGTGAGGCAGAGTCGGACGGAAGCCACAACTTCCAATGAAAATTCATTGCACATTAGAAGGTGCAGATTAGAAGAAGCAGATTAGAAGACTTCTGATGAGCGTCACCAACTGAACATCAAAACAGCGCCACAAATCAGGGCAGAACCCAGATGGTGGGTTGACTCAAGCAGGCAGGGAGTTATGATGGCAAGAAAAGCACCAGAATCAGGCCCAGTGAGCGTCTTCAGGGTTTTATACACATTTCATCAGTTCCTTGCTAAATTTCTCCAGACAAGTTGATGAAGTAAATGTTCCCACCTTTTGCCCTCTGATTTCTGAAATGCACCTGTGACTCCCAAGGCTTCTGTCACTGCCTTGGGCATGATGTGCTTCTAAGAGAGTCAGCCCCAGAGGCACAGGCCCCAGCGCTGCTCCAGGACCTAATTACAGGTTTTCAGGAAGGCTGTGGAAAGAGCGTTGCCCTAAAAGTCCTGCCCCTGTCACGGTCTGAAAGGCAACTTTGGACAATTTGTGCCCCTCCCTGGGCCTCAGTGTTTCTATATCTAAGTTCATGGGACTCGGACTAGTTCAAGGATGGAAATTTGAGGTCTCCCTGGTATCACCCCTTTTCATCCTCATAGCACACACAACTGATAAGTTGCAGTATTCTTTTCTACCGAGCCAGGACTCTGCCTCAGAATCCTTCTTAACACAGAGTTCTAAGCAACTACTGCTGATAAATCAGTCAGTGTGGGAGAGGAAACCTGGGTGCCATCCTGGGACTCATTGATCTAGAGGTGCCCCTCAGCTCTAACAACCTGTCATTCACCTCTGGATACCCCAGAAGGCACCAAAAGACTCTACCCACCTCTGATTTCTAATTTTCCCTGAACTCCCTGTGCTTTGGCTGTGAACTTGGAGCTGTGTTTATGTGGCAGGGGACAGACAGGTGGGAGGAAGAGCTCCCATGGCCTCCAGGAAGCAGCTCAGCTGAAGAATCAAGCTGCAGGGAACGCATCTCGAAAGCTTTCCCGCGGGTCCTACTGGGTGGGGCAACGAGCGTCCCCAGGAAAACCACACACTAGAAGCATCTTGTTGTTTGCGTTTTTTATTTTTCTCATTCTTCCCAGGTCAGTGAGGCAGCAACATTAATAAAAACAAAAAGTGGGACAAATTGTTTTCTTGTATGATAATTCAATCACCCCTCCTGAACCAACGATCCACAGATAATTCTAAGAGCCTTTCATCAGATTTAGTGCAAACTGGAAGGTCTGGTATTCCAATATCCAAAACCACCCCCGTGGTGACGCCAGGCCCGTTTGGGTGTGCTCGTTTCCATGAAAGGACTATCCGGAGCAGAGAGGGTGCGGGTGAGCCTCCTTTCAGCTCTTTTCAAGTCCTAGCAGGTCACCGAGGAGCAGGGCTGAAAGATCTGGTTCCTTAGCACCGGCCACAGTCCCAGCCCATGGAGCCCCCAGGGCTACCAGAGCAGCAGGACATTTGGGGGCGGGTCTCTGTAAACCCAGTCTGCCTGAGACCAGCCCCAGTGCACGCCTGCTGCCCAACAATCACTTAAATTATTTCAGCCTGTCTCGCCTTTTTATGAGCACGAGCCTTTGTTGAAAGGGAAACTAAACTGACTCCAGAGGCCAGCTGAGCTCGCTTGGTGATGTCTCTATTGTTAACAGAATGCAGAATGTATTTGCCTCAGCTTAGAATGTCCTGGGGCCAGAAAGGGTGGATTCTCTTGGAATGCCCATGAGCATCTCAAATGGTGACATCTGGGACGGCAGGGCCCCAGGAATGCTGCCATTTAGCCGTGCACATTGCAAATGCACAGGGAGCTTGCTGTCACGCAAAAGGGAAGCACCGGTTTCCTGTTGCAACCAGGAGGCCCTGAGCAGGCAAGCTCCCCCCTCTCTCTGATTCGATTGACTGGCTGAATTCTCTCACGCCAACCAGCCTTCCTCTGCCGCTCTGCCCAAGTTATTTGGATACATGGGAACAAAGAGAAGAAAACGGCCTAAGCCTTCAGCCCTCCCCTTGGGACCAGCCTTGCGGTGCACACATTCTCTCAGGCCTTCTTGGATTACAGAGCAAACAGGGAGCAGGTCCTCTATGGAGCTATGACCGGGGGTGGTTTAATCTGCAGGGGTCTGGGATGTGTCTCAAAGCATTGGCAGGTCACCCTCGCTGTCGTCTCTTCCGCCCCCGGAGCTTCAGCCGCCTGGCTGGCAGGCTGACGGGCTGCTTCCCAAACTTCTGCATGATCTCTCTGATCCTGGCCAGGTTGGTTTTGCTGAGAGTGAAGTCGCACTGCGTGGCGCCCATGTCATAGCCGACCATGCAGTTCTTGGTGGACGAGGTAAAACCTTCCGCCCTGGCTGTGACCACATACTCTCCGGGGTTCAGGAGGCGCCAGTAATCCCCATCACTGGCTGTGAAAAGAAAGCAGAGGAGCTGAGAGGAACGTTTGTCTAACGCAGGGCCTCCCAGCCCTGTGATTCCAAGACCAGCCCCCTGGCCAGAGAGAGGCTCAGAGGCAGGCTGTGTGGAATTCACGCCCTTGCAGACGCAAGTCCTTCATGCACCTTGGAAGTCAAGATGTTTTCCTCTTTGGAAGCCCCCTTAATGGTTTTAACAGGCAGGGGTGTGGGGTGTAGACTCCCCACAGTGTTAATACACATGAGCAGAGATGGAGAAATAATCACTCACACGCCTTTCTCCGTGACAATACATGCCATTCATTATGAACTTGGATTTCCAAACGGTAGGCCGTCACCCACAAAATGCCATCTTGAAAAGCCATTGGTGCATGGCTTCCTGGCTTCCCTTAGCATGGCTATAAACATAGAATAGTAATGTAGGGGTGGGGCTCCTCATTTCTGAAAAGAGAAGGGAAGGACGACATGGGACAAGGGCCAATGACCTAGGAGGAGGCCCTGGTAACCGCACTTCATTCCATGGCCCTTATCCCACGTCCTAGGTCCAGGAGAAACGCGGAGCAGTCAACCATGGGTGCTGCAAGGCTGAGCCCCGTCTGCCCAGTTATACCTCCAGCCAGTCACCCAACAAGTGCCTAATAGGATCTGCATCCATTCTTAGCTCTAGGCTACATCCTGTTTGCATAAAGCAGGGGTCTAGGCCAAGGCCACTCCTGCCAGGTGCCTACAACCTGCTGAGAGCACTTTACATTAAAGAGGCTGCAAGACAGAAATGGGGACACAGCGACCCCCATTGAGAAAGCAGTAGAGACTGACACTGATTCACTGACTCTTCAACCAAAACTCTGATGTAGGTTCTAGGATTATCCCCTTTCCTACATGAGTAATTTGATGCTCAGGGAGGTGTCATGTCTTGCACAAAGTCACACGGCTTGTAATTAGCAGGTCTCCCAGTGCCAGGTCTGGTTCTCTCTCTTATGACAGTCTGAGCAACCTGCCCGGTCTAAAGCTTTGGTGCCAAGTAAAGAGAAAAGGCTGGATTTGATGAAGTGCTAAGGAGGCCCTGGGCAAAGTTTACTCATCGTAACAAATCCTGAGGTCTTCTAAGGGATAGAAGAAACGTGTGTGTATAATTACACAGACATAGACAATACTTTCAAGCATCATGTTTAAATTCACATTACACTCTTTATTCATCTGAGACACCCTGCGCAATGCTGTGAGCGCACGAGAGCACAAGATGTTATGAAATATGAACTATGTTGGCAGTTGTTTGCCACATTCATGCAATCTGCTCCCTGGTAAACAGGACTCGGTGTCAGAGCCGAGACACACCCGTTAGGTGGGGGGCTCCCTGGTATTTCTCTGCCCTGCACCCTGTGTCTTCCTTTAGTGAAAATGCAAGGTTTTCAACTAAATCCAAGGCCATTTCATGGGTTTTCAGGAGGCAAGAGCCCTGCCAAGCAGTCTTCATCTTCCGATCAGATGGCCTGCACCTCACAATGCAGTTCCCACTTTGAGACAGCTCCGTGGGCCCTACAGCTCCCAGCAAACCTGAGGGAGCCAGCCTTTCACATGTCCTCCTGGCATCCTCCTCTTCCTGTCCTGGCCCCGTGTTAGTGTGTAGGCTCCTGATTTCACTCTTCTGCCCTTAACGGTATGTTTCATGTGGTGCATCCCCAGTTAATGCCAGTTAGAGTCAGTGGGATGAAGACAAATGTCTTATTAACCCGAGAGGTGGGGCGTGTTAGGTCTTAACCATTGTTGGGTTACTGTCCCACCAAGCGATCAGGTCGGTCTGGAAGTGACCGTTCCGTGGAGCTTCAGGGGGAGGTCGACACTTAGCTGGTGTCACTCAGCAGTGGTGGACAGAAGGGACAACCCAGGCCCCAGTGAAGGTCCATTTGCTAGCAGATTAGGTTAGTGTCCTGACCTAGCATGGGGCAGTCATGTGGCATTCAAGCCAGGTGCTTGGCGAACATATTATTTTATGCATTTAGAAAGCATTCTTACTAGCTTCTCTCCCTGTAGAATTGCATTTAATACCCGTGTTTATTTTATGCAAAATCCCTCCTGAAATAAAACATGTCAGATCACATAAGCCTCAAACAGAAAGAAATCAAGGCAAATTCAGAGCTGACATTGAGCACTGAAAGACGCTTTAACAAACACAGTGACGCGCCATGCGTAAAGTATGGACTTCATCTACCATGAGTACACACTGGGAAATTATTTATGGGGAAATAGAGGCAATGGGGCACATGTTTCCCATGAGCTCACCAAAACAGCCTCCTTGATTACAGGCGCTTGAAATTCAGAGCTCATTAGGCGAAGTGCTCTCTGCCGGCGTGTGGGGCCCTGGGTCTTTCATGCCCCACTCCATTTAAAACCCTCATGCTTTCTCACAGAACGCACAAGGCCTAATAATCCAAGGGATGTTCCTGCCCCTTGTGAATCACTCTTTTAAAGGGGCTTGTTAGCAATGCTTAAAATACAGCCCTATGCAGAGCAGAGCAAAGCCTCTTTCATTCATAATGACCTCTGGCATCTCGCATGTATCTGGCCTGTTATGGGTTCACAACCCGCATTTGTTGAATAAATGAATGAATGAATGAATGAATGAATGAATGGATGCCTGTGAGAGGCTATGCTACACGGTATGAAGAGATTGCTGAGTGAAGAAATAGGCAACTGCATGGGAAGAGCGGGATTCAGGCATGACAGCAGCCGTCTGCCACTTGGTGGCATCTCCGATACATTTCGCCCACTTAGGTAATACTTGGCCTCTGTACCACATCAGCAGGCAGCCTGGCACTGAAGAACACATGGCCAGGTCTGAATCCCAGCCTCACCCCATCCTAAGGTCCCAGGGTCTCTGTTTCCTCACAGGTCAAATTGGGATTTGTTGGGAGGACAGGGCTTGAGGGCAGTTTTGTGGGGAAAAGCCCCACCTGCTCTATCAGAGGAACAGCATGGGGTAAGGGAAGGGGCACTGCATTTAGATGTAAGCTGGCTCACATCCCAGCTCAGCCACTCACTGCGCCATCTTAGAACCACCATGTAATGTCCACCCATTCATTCATTCATTCATTCATTCAATACTTCAAGAAAGTAGGTATTTCTTATTTGCAGTTACCTGTTCGGATGTCATGGTTGATACCTTCTACGGAGATAATGGCATTGGGAATTCCTTTTCCGTGTAAATCCCTCACCAAGCCTTTGATGCCGCGATGAACCTGCTCGGCAAACATGACAAGACAGGGTGTGAGCTCACTGACGTGTCCCGCCCACCCAGCACCGTGAGAACTATGACTCTCAGGCCAGCCCAGTCCACCGAGAACCCTCACGAAGCCACGCCTAGCTCAAAAGCTGTGTGTGGATTTGCTGTGTAAACGCCTGCACGCCTTATGGGTCCCTGCACCAGGAGTCTTCCATTGGAGTGAAAAATCTTTCAGAGGTTAAAAAAATATTAGGATCTGAGATGGTTCATAAAAAGACAAAACACATCACTAAAAATGGAATTTAACTTTTTATTTATTAGACTTTCCTGGGCTATATAGGCTTAATATGTTGACTTCATGACTTAAGAGTCACAGAGGAAAGAAAACAGTCACTGACAAATGACAACTCAGGTTATAGGGCTGTCCCACTAATGAGCTGTGTCACATGACACCTCAATTCTGAACCCCATGCCTCAGTTTCCTATCTGTAGTAAGATGCGAGAATCCAAGGTGGCATGCCATCGTTTCCAGTGACATTCTTTATACCTAGTACTATGCCTGGGCATTTTATCCATACGAGGCTCTTTGGCAAGTTGGGATCATGACTTTTAAAAGATTAGGGCTGTCTCTACATGAAATGAAAAACAGCCTTCCCTCCCAAAATTCCAGGGAGGGGGCAGAAAGTGTGCTCCAGGCTTCCCGAGGGGAAAGAGAAAGTTCACACCCTCTTGTGTCAGGGAAGTGCACTGTGGGCTGCACTGACCCTCCCGGGACCTTCCTCGGGGCAGACTTGGAGGCTCGAGCCCAGGGCCGACCTCTGCCACCAGTGTGAAGCTGGCAGCCCAAGCCATCGGTGAGATGCTTCTTCTGACTCATCTACGCCTCCCAGGGGACAAGGGGCAGCCTCGGTGTACAGCCTCAGAGTCTTACTCTGGAATGGATGGGAATCAGGGTAGAGTCATATGACTATAACTGAGGTTCAACATTCCTTTCTGTTTATTCCTCTGGTTTCCAGTTAGTCTGTTCCTTAGTGGGGCATGGATGCTATTTGGTTAGTTTTAGCACGGAGCTGGAACTGGTTTACTCAATGATACAAGATGGGCATGTCTTTGAAAGCAGGAGGAACGAACAGGTGGGGAGTGCAAGGTTCCTAGCATACACAGCAGGGCTTCCTCCCCAGCTGCAAGCAGAGCCTCAGCAGGCACTTGTTAGAACTGCTCCCAGGTGATGCCCTGCCTCCTGCAGCAGTGACACTTCAGCATGAGGACTATTGTGGGCTGAATCGTGTCCCCCACAAAATTCCTATGTTGAAGTCCTAACCCCAGTACCTTGGAATGTGACTGTATTTGGAGAGATGATGAAGTTAAAATGAGGGCATTGGAGTAAGCCCTAGTCCAATCTGACAGGTGTCCTTATAAGAAGAAGAAATTTGGACACAGAGACACATGGAGTATATGCCCACAGGAAAAAGACCATGTGAGGATACAGTGAGGAGGCTGGCCAATTGCAAGCCAAGGAGAGAGGCCTCAGAGTGAAACCATCCTGCAGACACCTTGATCTTGGACTTCTAGCCTCCACCTGTAATTTGATGTTTAGGCTCCCCTAGCCTGTATATTTTGTCATGGAGCCCTAGAAGACTGATACAATGGGCCCAGACATGCTGGCTCGGACATGTCACTCACCTTCCCACAGAGCAGCATATAATTTCCACTCAGCATGAACCAGTGAGTGCAATCAACGCTGACTTAGAGCTCATGTTCTTGGGTCCAATCAAGTGCAAAGGGACAATGGTTCCTCCCCACACTGTAGTGGCCAGCCCAGGACGACGGCCACGGTCTCACTCGTGAACGTGAGCTCTCACTTTCAGCCACCTAAACAGCCTCGTTCCTGAGCTAGGCCCCATCACAGCCGTGTGCCCGTGCCATACCTGCTCCATGAACACGATTAAGGATTCCCGGTTATTCTCCCATTCCTCAGGAAGCTCGCTCTCGTGCGGGTATTTGTCACAGCCCACGTAAATGGACAGCTCGAAGCAATTTGTATGAAGGTAGCTGAAGTCGTTGAGACCTGCCAAGCCAACCGGACAACATGTAACTGACCAAGGCTCAACGCGGCACTGGGGAGACTGCAAGAACATTCAAGAACGGGGTTCAGGAGACTTCATTTGAACAAGGCGGTGGCAAGGATCTATGACAGATAAAAACTAATTAGGGCGGGCCGGCCGAGTGGATCAGTTGGTTAAGAGCTCGCTCAAGAGTTTGAGCTCTGAGCAACAGCGGTTCGATTCCCAGCCCGAGCTGAGCAGCCGCTGAGCTGCCAACAGGTAGCAGGATGGTTCAGCTTATAAAAAAAAAAATAAATAAATAATTAAAAAAAACTAATTAGGGCAAGTGTTGAGGGAAGGGGCGGGGGACTTGAGAGGGTGAGGACGCAGGTGGAATGGTTTATGGGGAAGACAGGCACGTATGACAGGATCTCTGACAAAAGGAGCTTTGTAAGTAAAATCTATTAAAATCGGTGGAACGCTACTTTTAGAATAAGAGTATCGTTCATTAACAGCATAGATTTTTAGCGTTTAAATTTATCTCTATAGTTGTGCTGCTGTCAGCTACAGCTCTACAACACTTTGCTATTCTAATTCCTAAAAATAGTTATCCAGACCAGTCACCCGAGTGCCTTCCGTAAACCAGGACCCAGCACTCTGCAGCCGTTAGTCACTTAGTCTTCTCCACAAACCCAGCAGAGAGGGAGGCAGCAAAGCACAATTTTACAAATCATAAAACTGAGGCAGAGAATAGCTAAGGAATGTGTCCAGAATCATGTGTCTGGAAAGGGCGAGAGGCAGGCTTTACACCTCGGTGTGTGTGACAAGCCCTTGCTCTTATCTCCAAACAGAGCATGGCTGCTCGGGGGCTGAAGGGCAAATGCACTGACCACTCAACCTGAAAGCAGATGAGCCTGGCGCTCCTGACATGACTGTAAGCAGATGTGAAGGACCCAGCCCGGCATGAGTCGGTCCCTGTATTCGTCTCCTAGGGATGCTGTGACAAATGGCCACAAACTGGGGGGCTTAAAATAATACAAATTCATTCTCCCACACAGCTCTGGAGGCCAGAATTCTGAGATCTAGGTGTTCGCAGGGCCATGTCCCCTCCAAAGACTCTAGGGCAGCGGTTCTCAACCTTTCACAGGGGTCGGCTAAGCCCATCGGAAAACACATATTCTCAATGGTCTTAGGAACTGAGACACCACTCCTCTATCTGTCTCCAGACCCACATGCGGATACGCCCACATACGAGTACCCGGCGACCCCTGTGAAAGGGTCGTTCGATCCCCAAAGGGGTTGCCGCCCACAGGTCGAGAACCGCTGCTCTAGGGGAAGACCCTTCCTACCAATTCTGGCTTCTGATGGCCCCTGCCATGGCCTGGCCTGTGGCTGCCTCGCCCCCATCTCTGCCTCTGTCTTCACATGGCCCTCTCCTCTGTTTCTGTGCCTTCTCTTCTGTCCCTTATAAGGACATGTGTTAATAATTTTAGGGCTCAACCAGGCAGCTCAGGATGACCTCATCTTGAGACCCTTAACTTAATTACACCTGCAAAGACCCACTTTCCAAATAAGGTCATAGCCACAGGTCCAGGGTGTTAGGAAGTAAACATATATACTGTTCAAACCACCACAGTATCTTATATTTGGGAAATGAATAAATGGATATTAGATGGCATAAAGTTTCAGGGAGTCTTCTTCCAACATCTTTGTTTTTGGAGAACAGGGTAATCAGCAAGAACACACTGCAGTGATGTTGTGTGTGATCACCAGGTAGCGCTCACCCAGCAGAAGGTCCCTCTCATGAGCCCCCCATGGATTCTAAGGGTGAGGGCTGCAGGGAGTGGAAGTGGGGGGTTGGGTTTCTCTGTGTTGACTGGGAAAAAGAGCAGGTCCTCCTGTGATTTGACCCACCTCTGTCCTTCCCATCCTGTCTTCCCTTCCTTCTCACTAGCTTGCATAACGTTAAGTGATGCATCACTTAGTATAAATGTCTGATTAAAAACCATGGCTTTGGGTGTCAAGAGCAATTCTGTATCAGTCTGCTGCCTAATTGCTAACGTCACAGGCAAAATGGTACCAAAATACAGTCACTCTCTCTACCGGATTCCAGATTCAAACCATTCACATGTCATCAGACATAACATTTGTGATAAACAAGGGAGTCAGAGCAGTGGCACAGAAGGGTAGGACAATGTCAAGTCAATAGAACTTCCTTTGCAGGGCCTGGTCGGGTTGAACAAGGTTGGTCAAAATGCCAGGTCAACTCACACAGTCGAACTGAAGTATGGGATTGCAGACAACACAGCACGTCCACCAGTTAGCACAGGTGGGACGTCCTGGGAAGGCCGTGCTCCTCTGTGCACATAACACCTCCTACTCCTAACCTTGCAGACCTTGTTAATACTGAAATAAATAAATGTGACATTTAAAACTCTGGAGTGGGCCTGCTATTTTTCAATATGTGTCTTCCAAACCTGGAAGCGCTAGAAGAACGGGCAACACGGTACGAAACCGGAAAGACGCTGGAGAAGCCCAGGCAGGCTCGCTTTGCTGCCGACTTCCAGAGCTTCGACAAATGTCTTATACCAGAGAATACGTGGCAAAGAATGGCTTCAGAAGCAAGCCGTGTGGGCAAGATGCCGTGACCCAGATAGTTCCTCCCGAGCCTTTGGTCCCAGCTGGGGGTGGAGAGACATTGCTTTGTGTTTTCTCCTTGCCTGGAATCCTGCCCTCGTCACGAGCTTCAATATGGAACTTGGAACTCTGCGTGCCTGATGCTGTCACAACATCTGCCTTCATTTCGGGAGGATGCGGGAACAAAGAGGGTCCAACATCACTTTGGAGTTGACACACACACACTACAAACGATGTGCACTTTGAGAGGTACTGAACCCTGCTCTCAGCGGCCCCCCTCTCCATTAAGTAATGCCTAGTGGTGCGGTGCTAATGAGTGAGCAAGACCTGAACAAAAAGATGGAGCGGAGAGGGAGGGGAGGGAAGGAAATTAGAAATCGCATTTCATTAATGTACAAAGAAATGAATCTGCAGACTTCATCACACCGCCAGGAGGAAGAATGATTAAAGAGGCTGGCGCTACCACATGGCTCTGCCACAAAAGTCCCTGAAATAATGGAAAATATAATTGATAGGAAAAAATTAAATGCCGGCGATATGATTATGCAGCAGCCAACTTTTCAAAACATTACTATTGACCTGATGCTAATGAAGCCAGCTGTGTCCGGACCCGAATTAGTCACAGCAGCCATAAAAAAGTACACAGATATTTCACGTAAAGATTATCGTAGGTTTTCAGGGCTAGAATTGAAAAGCAAGAATGCTTTTTGGCCATTAGGAAATTTTCTTGATAGATAGGGATTTGAATTTATATTTCTTGTTTTGTACAGAGCAAAGCCATGATGGAGATAAATAAAATACCTCTGCTTGGCAAAAAAAAAAAAAAATTGGCAAGCTTTCTGTACATGTTTTGAAATGGTCATGGGAATCAATATATCTATTGCTTTTTAATTTTTCTTTTCCCAAGGGTGGAAACATACCTGAATAGTATGTGAAGGCTGACTCTCTAGTAAAGCAAAATAATATTAAAGTTAATTAGTACAGTGAAATAGAAAGTATGGATATGCTCATGAAAAAGGTTGCATGGTGAGCAGGGGATGGGGACTTATCGTGGCTGAGTGCTTCCAATAAGCTAGACATACGGCTCACCCACATCTGCCACCTACATAATCCTCACAACAGCCCCGGCGGGATCATCATTGTTATGATCATGCCCACGTTACAAATGGAAAATATGAAGGGGTCAGACAGCATCCAATTGATGAAACAGAACTTCAATCCAGGCCTATTTGACATGGGATAGTTTTCAAATTCACCAGTGGCTTGACCAGCCATCACAAAGTGAAGAAAACAAGGAATGAGCCGTATGCTTGGGGTCTCGCCATCCCCATACAGAGGGACCTGAAGGAATGTGATATCCTTATCCCTCTTCATTTGGGAGCCTTGGGCCAAGAGCAGCCCTGACATAGGAACTAAGGTACTCATCTTAAAACTTGGACCACAGGGTCCTCTGAACTCCTGAAGTCTCTACTTGGAAGCCTCTCTAGTCCCGTGTGGATGCTGGGAGCAGTACCACGTCCTCACATCACACACAGAGGGGCCTTGACTGAATGCCATGGTATGGCTGGGAGACCAGCTGCTGACCTCCAGCAGACAGATTTGTGAAACTGTCTTCACCACGTGTCAGGCCTCAGGACACACCTGCAGCTTGCAGTCACCTCATACCTGAGCATGTGCTCAATGTCTGGCCCCCTCTGTGGGCTTACAGCTGGGACAGCCCCCCATAATGGGAACAGCTGTGGGTAAAAAGCCCATCATCAGCACCAGCACCAGCGTGCTCTCTGCCCCTTTGCTGGGTTTACTTTTGGGTCCAACATTTCCCCTGAATCCATGTTTACTCATCTCTGATCCTATAAAATCCGAAATGCTCAGTGGCTAAGGGCAGACCACGAAGCCAAACAGACCCAGCTCTGCTCCTTTCTCACTTGGGTAGATCCCTTCCAATCTCCAAGCCCCAATTATCTCATTTATAAAACGGGGATAAGCCACACCCCCTTCTATGTAGAGTGCTGGCACCTTGTAAATGTTAACCATGGTGGCTATGACACTGATAATAACAGGAGGGTTGGGAGGAGATGGCCCCACAGCTTCCCTCCCTGTCCCGGCCGTCTGTCTGTTATCGTTTGGCCCCGTGATGACAACAGGGCGATCCGAGACTTACTTCCGGCCACAGTGTGCCAGGAAGCCCCATTGACCGTCCCATCCTCTTTCTGGAAGTCTTCCGTGTGGCACACCCTCCTCCTGGCATCGGTCATGAGGCGGTGCGTGGAGGCATAGGAGTAGGCCAGCCAGCGGAACACGTGGTCATCCGGGGTGGGGGTACGCTCCTGCGTCTTCCACAGGGACCTCACCATGTCATAGGGGTACGCCACCACCAGCTCACCACCCTGCAGGTTGCCGCCCAGCACAAAGGGGATTTTTTCCATCCAGGCTATGACTGCCCTGGTCTCCACTGCCACCTGTGAGCATTCCAAATTAAACACACTTTGATAAGTAAGAAGGGAACTGCTTTCTCTCCCTAGCTTTCCAAACAGGGACATAGTTGAAAAGGCAATAATTTTATGGAAGAATCTTAGCAAAATTTAGAATTTCAAAATTGGTCCTGGGAAAACTGGACTTTGTGGAAATAATGAAAGTAAAAAAGGGAAATCCAGGAAAGTTTCTTTTTGTAGGAATAGTCCAGTTAATGCACAAAGAGGAAATTATTATCAACACTTTCCAACTTGGGGGATTAATGGGTCAGGCACATTCATCAGTGGCTACAAAGAGCACAGAAAGAGACACAGCCAAGTGTGATTGTCTCCTGGGAGAAGAACACACACCTAAAATAATATCAGCCTTGAATATGACCAACTCTTCGTCCAGGCTTTGTAAAGGACCAGGCGGTATGTACGTATTTATGGTCTCTGTCGTAACTGCTCAACTCTCTGCATTTGCAGCGCAGACCATGTGCAGCTGAATGAACGTGGCTGTGTTCCTATACATGCCATGGACAGAAGCAGACCTCGGGGGGATGCGGCCCACAGACTGGAGTTTGCAATCTCTGTTCTAATTAGCCTGGCCTCCTCTGAACCTCACTACCAATTTATAAGAAACACAGAGGACTATGTTACATGACATCCCAAGAATACAATAGTAGCACCCAGACAGTGAGAAACACTAGGAGGCAATTTGATTGTTTATAACCTAGTTGTTGCAAGATCAACAACAACAAAAAACTGCAGGAAAAAAGGCAAGTGATAGAGGTGAAATCTGTAATTCAAGTGAGGCTTAAAAGGCTTATATATCAATACCAATCATAATAATACCAAAATAAATGGGCTTTATATGGATCCTGATTTAAACTGGGGGGGGGGAGGTATGGAGAATGACAGTAAAAATGTGAACACTGGCTAGATATTTTATTATATTAAGAAATAATTTATTTTGATATAATAATGGTAATAATTTATAGTTTCAAAAGAGTCCAATCTTTTAGAGATACTACAATATTTACAAATGAAATGATATCATGCCTGATATTTGCTTCAAACACCTTGGGGAGGGGGAGAAAGTGGGTGAACGTGTGGATGAACCATGAATTGATAAGTGAGAAGCTGAGATGGGTACATGGGACTCCCTCACAAATTTCTCTCTAATTTTGTATGTTTGACATTTTTTTATGATAAAAAATTAAGAAAGGCCATGGATGGATGGAAGGAAGGTGGGGAGAAAGAAAAGAAGGAATGAGGAAAGGAGGGAAATGACAATGTTAGAAACAAGAATGGAAATCCTGATATGGTCAAACACTGACCAATGAATCAAATATTTATCATAAATTACTGATCCCTATGAAGATAATTCCAGTAGAATAAAATCGATAATGAAAAATAAATAAACATTGGAAATGGTTTAACTGAGCTTGCAACGTGCTTGCCTAAAATATAATATTTCTCAGCCTTCCCTATGGTGGGTTGATATCATCTTTTGACTAAATTCTGGCCAATGAGATTTAAGCAGAAGTATTATATAGGAATTTTAGGAATGCCTCTTCAAGTTAACTGAATTATCTGAGAGGAAGACTTTTTTTTTTAACCCTTTCTCTCCTCTTCCTCCACAGACATCACGGCTGGAGTACCCACTGCCTTCTTGGTTTATGACCTTGAGGATGAAGGTCACATGCTAACATGGTGGAGACAGGAAGATGTATGAGTCCTTGGTTTCTGATGATCATGGGACTTCCATTGGGCCAGCTGTGTACCATCTGCCTCCAGGATCCTTTTATGTGAAAAAAGAAATAAACTTCTATCTCATTATTTGTTTTTTTCTGTTGTTGCAACTGAGCCTAACCCTAACTCCTATAGCCATCAAAGCAGACCTGTTGAGGGACATATACTATCAAACACCAGGGGTAAAGGCAATGGGCAGATGAGGCAATAAAAGGCATGGGGAACTTTGTGAAAATTATTTCTTTACAACGTACTCTTTGGGAAACAAGACTAAGAAATTTGGGGAAAACGTTTCTCGCCCAACTGTGTTTTTCCTTTCGAAGAAGCACCCCATGTAATAAACCCATGGAGAGTTATTCAAGTAAAAATAAGAAACGTCAAGCAATCGTTGAGGGCTAAGGACAATTTTGTAGCAGTATAACCACCAAAGATGAAGGTAATAATGATAGTTACAAACATGCCCAATTCAGGGGAATTTTTTTGTTGAAGCCCTGCGTGGTTATAAAGAAATATAATTAAGTGAATTCTCAGAAGAATCTCCTCAAATACCAATTTTAAAGGTAGTTATTATCTAGCACACTTCCCTACTTTTGGAGAAAACATGAAAGAAAAAACGGTTTTGTCTTCTGCTTAAATGTCACAGCCTCTGCAAATACCAGTGGGTGTTAACCTTGGCCTTCCACTGCTCTATAGATTATGGGGTATTTTTACTCACCGTGGCATTTTCAGACAGAAACCACTCAGGGATGGCAATATGGTGGTTGGGAACTTTCCTGGGGATGTTCTGTCGGTCCTCTGCCTCCCAGAGCAGCGTGTTTAAGTCAGGAAAGTTGTTGTTGATGTCAATCCCATCGTGGGTCCAGCGTCCCAGGGACCAGCCTCCCAGCTCTGAGCCCTGGGAGACAATTCAGAACGTGAGCAGCCCATGGACTTCTTCTGGGCAGCACTGACTCTGCCACACACAGGACGCCTCCATCTCCATCTCAGTGTGTGTCTCTAAGCCTCTAGACACCCTCTGGCCCAAAGATGACATCCACAGGATAATATCAAAATTCCTTCTATTGATATTTGGTGGATGATGGCTAGTACAGCCAAATCACTCCAAAGAGGGAATGGAGCGAGAGTGGTCCCTGCCTCACGTGGTGTTCAGAAGGTATTTGGTCCCTTCTTCACCCACTTCTCTCCTCTGAGGGCTTATACACTGGTCGGATGAAACTCTGAATAGTGATGGATCTAAGAGTCCATCATTGCAATAGCAACACCCACCACATTAAATGCATTCTCCCTGCCCTGCCTACAATTCTGGCTCACAAATCCCTAACCAACTGGCATTGCAAATCCCTAACTCTTTGTACCAATAAATACAACCAAAATTCTGTATCGTAAAGCTTGTACCTGATCGGTACCATTGTGTTAAGTATAATTTTCCATTTTATTCCCAGATAACACTAAATATATTCTATACATAATTCTATAAATACGTATATTCTGCACATAACCGTAACCTATACAAATTCTACACCATAACCAGCACAGGAAATATAAACGATATATCAGAATAATAAATAAAACAAGTCTCCTCAGAGGACTGATGACAGGATCACAAGACATCATCATCAAGGTCAGTGCGTGCCGTGACCGAGGGCTTAATGTTAGGTGTTATTATTACTCTGTTCTTTTCTCCTCATTGTGTGTGTTACAAAATTATTCACGTCCACATTCTCCAGTCTGTTGGCTCGTCCACTTCTCAGGGTCCCCCCTAAGTCTCCATTCTGGATTCGTATCTTTCCTAAACCTTCTCAGCAGAGAGACAGACACTCAACAGGAGCGCGCCAAGGGTGGGCTTCAAGCCACGGGCGAGCCCGCTGCGCGCGCCGCTGGGGCCCCACCGCCACCGCACTGGCGAGGGGAGCAGCACCATTACCCCTTCGTAGGCCTTCTCGTAGCCATCAGGGTTGAGAGCGGGCAGGATGTGGATCCGCGTCTCCTCCACCAGGCGGACGATGCGCGCGTTCCCGGCCAAGTACTCCTGGCACAGGAACTGCACGAGCAGAAGCGTCAGCTCCCGGCCCAGCACCGCGTTGCCGTGGGCCCCCGCGATGTAGTGGAACTCGGGTTCACCTTGACCCAAAGACGGGAAAAGTACAGGTTCAGATCAGATGCCTGCAGCAAAACAGCCCTTATCACATTGTGCTAGGAAAAAACAAATCTCTGAATAATATAAACTTACAATATTAGTCCTACGTTTTCTTTCAATTAAACCTCCGAAATTATATCGGTACTGTTTCTTTTTCTTTTTCTTTTTTTTAATTCCCAAATAGTCAGGTAAATAAGAAAATGTGTAGACAAATCTTAGAGGATATCAGCCACGGGGAAATCATGTTTATTCTTACTTAGCAAGGATAAAAGAACACGCTGTTAAGGGTTTAAATTTACAAACTAAACACAAATCATAGAATTATATTTTTCTCTTCTGGGAGGTAATTATGTTTCTTAAAAGAACTTCCTATTAAACTGTACATGGATTCAAAGATGAATAAAAACAAGCAGAAAACAGTCTGGCAGGGCAAATCGGCAATGACACAATTTTGGAAGAAGGTGTCCGAGCTTTTTCTCTTCAAAGCCCGGCTTTTTCTGTGTTGGAATTTATCAGTGCTCAGCAGGTGCTGATAACACTTCCTCCCTCATTGGCAAAGCCACGGCTTTTGAAGAAATGTGATTTTACCAGCAGATAAGCCCTTACTCTTTGAAAGAAACTCCTCAGAAGAAATCCTGAAATACGGATGAATGTTAAAGTTGAATGAATCAGACAAATCTCTGAACTTAAATATCAGGGGATTTCTAAAGGGCTCGCAGATTTACCAAAAAGCAAACCAGAGAAGTCCCTCTGACCTGGAGAACACAGGCTCGGGAATGACCTATGGGAAATGGCTGAAAATAGAAAATACTTGAAAGTTGGATTGAAATTAAAAAAAATAAATAAATAATTAGGGAGCTCCTCAAACTTGAGCCATTAATAACCAGGCAGTCCAGAATTTTCTTCTGGAAAAAGACTGTTTTAGTTGTCTCTGGCCATTTGCTTCTTTGCTTAGTGTGTGGCTGGTCCAGGGCTATAGAACAGAATTAAAAATGGTCCTTTTGGAGAAAAGAAGGAGATTTCGAGCTTAAATAAGTCAACAGCCCATACCATAAGATGAGAGGTTCACAGAACCAAATTCTCAGAATCTGTCTATGTGAAGTGGCGCGTGGACAGCTCCTGCCCTGTTTCATGAATGTTCTCCCAGGGTGAACTGTGTCTCCTTGCTCTTTGAGAGGGGACCGGACATGAAGGGACAGATGCCTCCCAGAGGGGTGACCTCACCAACTTCATGCTCCCCGGGGTGGTCGGAGATCTCCACAGCGTAGAGCTTCAGACCCTGGTGGCTCTTGCCAATGTTGTAAATTCTGGTGACATTGGGGCACATTTCATTCACAACCTTCATCAGCTGGAACACAAAGCGGATTAAGGACCTAAGCAATGATGGCTACACACCAAGGGGGGCAGCCCTCTCCAGAAGACAGCCACTTGCTGCTCCCCTCCCATAGCCCCGCCCACTGCGTGTCTCCATCCTCCACACACCAGTGCTGTCCTCTCTGCCTGCAATATCCTCCTTGTGACCCCTCTGCCCTGTCCTCCCAGCACCCTACGGCTGTAGCTATCATCTCCATGGCTGCGGTATCACCTCCCTTGGTTGGGCTATCACTTCCTTTGGTTGTGGTATTACTGTTTCACTGTGATTTCTGTTGTCTTTTGTCCCCTCACTAGACTGAAGATCCTTTAAGGGACAGACTGAGCCTTTTGTCTCTATATCGCTGCCTAAATAAATATTTATTACTGAATATCAATGTTCTTTCACAGTTTAATGAATATCTATGATATTAGGCTGAGGAAAGAGATACCACTCCTGCCCTCCTGGCGCTTACAGGTGGCAGTCATACGATGACCCACTTCATTGGCGCTAAGTCAGGGGGCACAGGGAGGCCCTGATCACGGGTAGCAGGTGGTTAAAGGACAGAGGAAGCAGGTCCACAAGGAAGGGAAATAGTTATGTGTTATTTTCTGAATTTTGCTTTTAAAGTTAAGCTCATCAGACTGACAGCTGCCATCTGCAGGCATGAGATAAGCTGCCAAGGAGGTAAGGAGGGCTCTTGGAGTGACAGGGGCACAAGCTGCCCTCGGGGGTGGAGGACAGAGATACCCTCCCCCTGTGGTTGCCTTGCCTCCCATCTCTGAACAAGGACCTGTGAGAGACCTGTTACGTAGCCTCGATTTGCTGGGTGAAATTGTTTAGCAATTCCCACCTGAAAGAAGATCTGATTCAAGGGACATTTCAGCCAGGCACCGGTCTAGCCATGCTCGTGGCGGAGGCAGGAGCATTCACGGGGCAATTCTATAACAGTGTATTAAAGACCAGGAGGGAAGCTCAGATGCTGTAGAAGCAGCAAGGACGGGCATCCCTGCTAGGAGGTGAGTGGGCCGGTGCCCATCAGGGAAGGCCCTTTAGAAAGACGAACAGGAGCTGGGTTGGTGGTGACTGGAGGGAGGCCATGGCTCAGAGGGACAGCATGGACCTGGACATGCTCTGACCAGCTTTCAAATTATTCTTGATCCACCACATTATCCATAAAACGTCTTTGTAAATTGTAAATAAACACATCTGTTGAACATTTTATGGTGGGTTAAAATCTTTGAGAACTAGAAAATCGGTACGATGTAGAATGTACGGTAAGTAAAGTTAAACTGCTGTGCACTACATTTGCTTTTCATAATATTACCTCCTGCAGTGACTGTGTGGAGTGCATTTCAGGAGTGTCAACGAGCATTTCTAAGGCACTGGAGGGATATACAGCCGCTATGGCTTTGCATTCATGACACGCCTACGAGGTGTTACAGGTGCAGCCTTGGTCAGGAATTCAAGGTCTAATTCTCTCAGTGCTCCTGGGGGGCAAACATGCTTCACTTTATGACAACTCACTTTGTGTTACGGTATCCAGGTGAGAGAAAGAGGACGCTGACTATAAAGGACTCCTGTTCACAAGAGGGCGAAAGCAGAAACCCAGCAGAAGTGGAGAAAAAATACACAAGGGAAACGTAGCTTCTACACCCATCAGCAAGAGATGTACAGTGCAGGACGGAAGTGGAGCCACTTATGAGATGCAACACGTTTCAACAAGAGACACGGTAACATCACTAATAATGTTAGCAACTGCAGTAATAATGCATCCTATTTCTCTACTGAAACTCACCACCATGACCACCAGGTGAAGTAGATAAACAGAGGTGATTGTCCCCATTCTACAGATATGGAGACTGAGGCTGAGAAAGACACTGAGCGATTTGCCCAGAGTCCCCCAGCTGGTTCCAGGTGGAGCCAGGACTTTGGACTCTTAGGGCTCTTACCCATCCATGAAGGTGCAGCAAAGCAACGAAAAGCAGCACATCCCTGCTGCCTGTTTTGTCTGAGGCACACTGTGACCATTCTGAAAGATGGCCACGGCACACTGGTCCTCTGATTTGGGGCCCCGTGTACTAGTCCCTGCTGATTACGCAGTCATTCTCAGTGACTGGCATCGACCTCAGCAAATCCTGATCAGCAGGTAGTCCACTGTCTGGTGTTCAGATCAATAAGGAATGCTGCAGTCACAGAGTCACTCAGCTCACCCTTAACTAGGCAATGAATGCAAGCACTTGGCCCCCAGCCTGGCTGTCATTGAATGCTTACCCTCCTCTCCCTTTCAATTAGCCGCCAGAGAAATATGCCACCTGTGTTAGAGGTCATGACCTTGACACTGGAAAAGGACAAACCCATCTTCCCTTGGATGCACACTTAGCCATGGATAGTCTCTCAGTCTGGGATGCTCTCAGCATGAGCCATCAGTCGCCCCTTTATATTCTCCCGACTGTCACAGTGTTTCTATACCAGCCATACTTTTTTCTTTGTGTTGTGGTAACAGGATGTATTGCTGCAATTATTACAAGCATCTTTTCCACACATAAGAACGGGAACACAGGCATTTGAAGGGTCTCCCTTACAAAGGCTCGTTACAATTCTCTCTGCACAGTGGCCTTCTGTGGTTTCTCCAAGTGGCCACCAGCACCATCGAGGACCTGGGTGGTGGCCCACTGTGGTTATCCCCGAAAGAGTCAAAGATGGGGTTGTTTTGGGAGTTTAGGTCTTAGTGGTAAATGTTTAGGTCTTGCTGGGTCTTGAGAGTGAGGACTTTCTTCATGGCCGTAGAGGATGAAATTTCAACAAGGGCAACATCGGCCTCAAAGAGGTAAAAATTGGCTCTTTGGAGCTAAAAGTCAGATATTACAATGCTTTGTGGCCCTCAAAAGCTCAACCCCATCCAATGAAATCTTATTCCCTAATAAATAATGGGTGGAGAATAACTAAGAAAAGTGCCTAAAATGCTGGGGGCGGGGGTACTAATGAAACAAGGTTGAGAAACATCACCTTAGAGAGTGCCTCGGTTTGCAAGACCCTTGGCCTGGTCAAAACTCTATTTCCTCATCTCTGAAATGGGAATCAAGTTGGCCATCCTTATATCTACTGAATTATGGGATCTGTTGCTTCCTCCTCTCCTGAAGAAAACAGAAGAAAAAGCCCCCTTTCCTGGTAATTCAGTTTCTAGCAATCTATCAGATGGAAACTGTTCATAGACACTGGTAAAATGATATGCACGATCACACTTGCTGTAGCACGTTTCGTCCTTTCTCAGCATTCGTTAAAAGTTGGGAGACGTCCAAATGCTCCAGAGCAGGAAGATAGCTGAGGAAATTAGGATGCACCCACTCACTGGAACATTCTGTGGCATTACACATACAATTATGAAGACAGCATGAAAACTGGCGCATGGTCCAGGATTAACTGAGGAAAGCAGGGCAAAGTGGTAACCATCCTCTGAGCAAAATCTTATGAATTCTGTGGGACACAGAAATTCAAACACTGGGTAGAAATTTGGGAAAAGGAAAACTGCTCATTCTTGAGAGTAGTGGGTTCACAGAGGACTAGCTTTTAGATTTTTGGTTTGCATTTGATGTTGATAATAATATTGTTTATCCAATGAATTAAAATGTTAAAAAAAGAGAGGAGAGAAAGTCCTCTTCCACCATCTTTGCTCATTGCCTGAGAAACACACACTGCATCTGATCAAATGGAAAAGGAATTCCAGGGAGGGGAAGGAGAGAGAGACTCGGGGTCAGAGGCACCCCATGCGTGAGGAGTGGGCTCGTCAGATCTGTGGGCCTGCTGCCCTTCCCGGGCTTCCTGCCACCATCACCCACTCCCCAGGGTCAGGCTGAGCATGCAGCAGGCGGGCATGCCAGCCCACAGCCTGAGGCTCCAACCATCCTTAGCTGCCCTGGAAATCAGCACCCTAGCTGGCTGTCTTCCAGCCATGTTTCTACTTTCTAGTGTATCACACCCTGCTTATCGGCCAAGCAACCAAAACTTCCTGAGCATTTGGAACCTGACAACACCAAGCCCAACACCAAAGTCAAATCACTAACCTCTTTCTCAAAACCAGCTATTTCCCTCCCTTTGTGGATGGCACCCCATCCCCTCAGAAGCACACCAGACCCCTTTCTCTCCCCAACTCACTCCAACAGCTGCCCGAGGACTAACCAGCGCCCCTCAGAAATGCCTCTCTTCTCCTCCGTCTTCAGGCTTGGTGGGTCCCTCTCCTGGGGACTTGGCAGTGCTCGCCAGCCTGCTCTCCATACAACTTCTAGATTGATCTCCCCAGCTCAGCCTCCTCTGATTCTCAGCCTCAGTACGAAAGCCTCTCCCGGCACTCAGACCAATCTCCCCTCCCAGCATAGTCTTGCCGACTATTCTAGAAACGTGCCATTTGCTCCTGTCTCCACACCTTTGCTCCCTGCTCAGAGCATCCTTCCTGCCCTCCCTGCCTGCCCAAGCCTGGCCACCGGCCCTGGGTGAGAGCCAGCCCCATCTCAACCAAAGCCCCCCCCCAACCACGGCCAACCAAGCCGGTCACTTCCCCTCCTACTCCCCAAATATCTCCCCTGGGACCACCTCAAATGTACATATTTATCTCATACGCATTACAGGTTTATGATAAAATGACAGAGCCTCTGCCATCATGGGCCCAATGGAAGGACATGTAACATACATGTAGACAAACAAATGACTAAGCAATTATAAATTGTGACACGCACTGCGAAGGTCCTCAGCTCCATGGGAATAATTAACGTACTCTGCCTTATAATATTAGTGTTTGTGCAACTTTCTCCCTCCTCTCCTCCTCCCTTCCCTTCCCCATCCCCACCACCTGGGGCTCCCCCGGAGTGAGGGGGGATGGGGGGGAGAACAATTCCTTACAGGTCACTGCTCTAGAAATATTTCTGCACACAGGAGTCACACATTCTCAGGAATTTCCCCTTCCCATGCAGAGTCTTTCTATTTTCTCTTCTCTCTTCCTGTTCCTGCTGCTGTTTCTCATTTTTGTTTGTGGTAAATGTCTCTTTCAATGCTAGGATAAACTAACATTGTTTTTTCCCAGAAGTAGGATTTCTACAGTAACCTAGCAGACTCCATATGGGGAACTAAGCCAGCTAAACGTGCTGTCTGCTTCCCCGTCCCCAGACGCCAGGATCCAAGTGGCAGATCGCTTCCCACTTGAACACTCTTCAGGGCTGATGGGTGCCCCCCAGTTGAGTGCTGCTGGGGCCTGGGACCCCGGAGGGGTCATCCAGCATCACCCGAGGGGCTGCATCAACCATGCCAAGGTTCCTCTTAGCTCTAACAGCTACCAAGGATGGTGACCAGACTCACTCAGGTGATGGCCTCCAGCTCCCCCTGTCTGAGAAGAACCCCAGTTCTCCGAGATACACCCACTATTTAAAGATACCTGCTACCTGGACTCTGTGCAGTTAGATCATTTGAAATGCATTTAGATTTATTGCTTTTGACATTAATTGCACCAACTGAGTTTATACTTGTCTAATTTCTGGGCTCGAAAAGACGTCCTGAGATGTCTAGGGGGCACAGCTGAGTTAACAGCCGAGGGCTCTGCAAACGGAGCGGTGAGCACAGCCTTATAAACACCCGAGAATGTAGAACGGCTGGATGACTCACAGACCTTAAGTCCAAACACATTATCGTGATTTCTGAAGAGCAAGGCAGCAAGACAATTTCCCACGTCCCATCTCTGAGTCTGTGCTGACAGGTGTCTGGAAGCTGTGTGTGAGTGTCTGCGGTGAAATGACATGGAGATAAACTGGATTGGTTGATTCCCTGGGATGAGGCTCAGCCTAATGACTTCAACCTCACTTGCATGAGGCGGCTGGTTCCTTTTCTCAACACCTAGGAGCTCTTGCTTTGAGCCATATTAACTTGGCCTTGGTGAGTCTGGGTTTAGTAAATGGATTTGTGAGTACATTTCTCTCTTTGTTCATCGCTTCGCACAGCTTCTTTGATATCTAAGGGTTTCTCATTTGCCAGCACCTCCGCACACTTTCTAGCACCACGCTGGGGGCAAACCCAGAGGCAAAGCGCTCAGCATAGGGTCTGCCCTTTCAGCTTGTCCTAACACATGTTTCTTCCTTTCTCCCTTCTGCCTCCACTATGCAAATGCCATCAACAGCTCAGAACTTCTTGGTTTCTGTAATTAAATCAGGGGAAAAGCTCATCTGGGATTACCTTTCCCTTCTAACAGCATGAAAGTACTCAGAGCTGTAAGGGTATCAGCCAGGTGCTCTGAAGCCTGGCTGCGCATTAGAATCACAGGGAGAGCTGTTACGAATTGAGATCCCCAGACCCTTCTCCTAAAGACTCTGCTTTAATTGGCTTGAGGTGGAGTCCAAGCACAGGCATTGTTCCAAATTTCCCCCAGATGATTCTAATACGCAGCTGAGATCGCGACTCGGGGAATCTGAAATAACAAAGGGTAGGGGTATGTGTGCTCAGTGACTCAGTGTCCCCATCAGTAAAATAAGGATAACGACAGTCCCTGTCCTCCTGGGGTGGGAGCACTGACCCGCTTGATGAAGGTAAATTGCTAATGGAGGTAAATTAACGCAGGTCTTATATGAGGTCTTCTGGCTATTACTATCGGTGTTACTCTGAATCCTTTTCCTTCTTCAACTCTGCATCTGACCAATACCTAATAAATCAGGGAATCATTCAAACACACAGTGATTCTTAAGAACTAGAGTATTACATCAGAAAAGTTTGGGTTCAAATTCGGGTTCAGCCGTTTGCTGGTCACCCAACACGGCGTTCTCAGCCTCGGGACCACCAGCATTTAGTGTGGTCTCAGCAAACCAGAATGATCATCCAGATTCTATGTCTAACGCATCATCCTAGTTTCTGAAAATAAAAACCTACGTGATTCTGGGTACATGGCGTGTCTCTTTGACAAATCCGGGTCTTACCTGGCGCATTTCCTTATAATTGTGGTGCTTAAAGTCCAGGTCGTCCGTGGTGGTCATCTCATTCCGTCGGTGATAATAGTTATTTGGATCTAAGCAGAGAAATACAGTTTTGAATTCATTGACATCGTTCTATTACTTGTGGTGGCTTTGTTGGGTGCCTGATCTGTGTGGGGACACAGCCCAATCTCTAGTTTCTCACATACGCATGGAGGTGAGAAAGACAGCTTTCAAGAAGCTTCTTAGGAGTCCGGATTACCCAGGGATGGAGAGCGTGGGCCTGGAGCCAGGGTGCCTGGATTCAAATCTCTGCTTTTCCACTTACGTGCTGTGTGACCCTGGACACGTCACTGGGGAGTCTTTGCCTTAGTTTTCTCCCCCATAAACAGGAAACGTACTGGCACCTCCCTCATTGGTTTACTGCTAGTATTAGCTGGGATAATCTGTGTGTCTGGCAAACTGTCAGCCATAAATGAATGAATGAATAAATGAATGAATGAATGCCTATCACAACTGCATGAATGAATGAAAATTTTTGGAAGTGTGATAGACACTGTAAGTCTTTTACCAGCATTCAGCCTGCTTTCATCTTCTCTAACCAAAGTCTGTGTAGTTTGGGGCTCCCCACTTCTCCACTTCTCAGAAACAGACCTCACATCCCTAGCTCCAGGGATCCAATGTGATCAGCCTAAGCTAATCAGCCCACAGCACTCCCTGGCCACTCTTACTGGTCCAGACTGAAGGGAAGGACTTGAAAGTCACAAGGGAGGAGTGAGAATCTGTCCAGGTAGAGGACAGAGAACACCCCAACAACATCAGGAGCTAATGAGTGAACCAACCCTGGCGCCCGGCCTTCCTTGGGACTTCCAATCACACAAGATGAAGAACTCCCCTAACTGTTAAGCCAGTGGGAGCTGGGGTTCTGTGGTTGGGTCTGAAGCACCCTGACAGGCATAATCAGGATGTATTAACAGTGGGTACCTCTGGGGACCGGGATTCAGGGGTCTGGGGAGGACAAGTCTGTTTTTGATTTGATTCCCTTCTATAACTTGACTTTTTTTGCTTTCATGCTTGTAATTATGTAAGTGTGTATTGCTTATAGAATTACAAAAACGAAGAACACTTAGAAGAAAGGGGAGCATGAGGAGGAGTGAGAAGGAGGATGAGGGGGCGGGGTCGCTCAGTGGGCCCGAGTCTTTCTCCTGACCTAACAAAAAGTAGTGAGGCTTCCAGACCCTCAGCCAGCCTCCCAACATCTCCATCTGGAGTACGCAGCTAGAAACCTTGGCCAGCTCAGATCTCCCTCCATCTAGAGAGGCCAAGGCACTTTAGACAGGTCCACCGCCTAACCCAGGAACCATATAAGTAAAGTCAGAACCACAGCAGCTATCGGTTGGATCCAAGTGGCGGAAGGGCGATTCTGGAGGCAGTGGCAGTGGCAGGCAGTAATCCCAGCGGTATCAGGAGCAGCAAGTCCCAACTGGTGCCACCACATGTTGTCACCAGCACTTTCGCTGCTTGTTAGACCCAGTCCAGACCTACTGAATCAGAGTCCACATTTAAAAAAATCCCAGCTGACTCCGGAGGCTCAGAAGCTTGAGAAGCACCGTGTTCAAGTATGAGCACACGGCCAGCAGGGACAAGGTGCTCGGTACACAGTACACATATCTGAGATCAACTGGGCCAGCTGCGTGTCTGAGGCCCAACAGCCACAGGTCGTGACGGCCATAACCAAGTTTGCCAGGGTTTAGTCACAGGCGGGCCGCACCCTTGAAAATTGAGGCCTTGTGCAATGAGCTGAAAATCACATACAAACAATGAAAAGACAGTTTTCAGTATTCACAAAAGGTTTGCCAGTAATACTATTAGAAACAAATGGCTGTCACTGAAAGGGGAGTGTGGGAGGGCAAGCTGGCATTTTGTCCAGAAAAGAAAGCAAAAGCCATTCAGGTTGAGCCAAAAAATCACCCCCGCCATTACTTTTCAAGGGCTTGCCTTCTGGGGGTGCAGGCTGACCCCTCCCTCAGGCAAGCCGCCTTCCCTTTGGTTTCCAAACCTCTATGTTTCAAAGCGAAGGTACAGCATACTTTTCACTTTATACTTAACTTACACATGCTGTTTTCTAAGAGCTATTCACCCCTCCCCGCTACGTCCCAGGGGCCTCTGTCCAAAACTCCTTAAAGCCCTCTTTGTATTTGAACACAAGTTATGCCTTCAAGGTTCTTAGAAAGGATTGAAGAAAATCTCAGAACTCTAAGCACAAAAGAGCTCCATGCTTGGCAACATTCCTCCAGCCTTACGACTAATCAATTTGCCTAAGGACATGGGTACAAGTTTCAGAACCATCTCAAGACCATGGGCGAGTATTTTTCAGAAGTTTGTGTCTCTCACATTTTGAACAAGTCTTTCTTTACTTGTCCATTTATTCTGATTGGACAAAGTTATATTGGGAACCTGTTAGGAGTCCAACACTGTAGGTAAGGAGATAAATTCAAACTGAGCCCGGCCCTCCTGGGGCCCAGAATCTACAGATAGAGCCACTCAGCCAAACCCACTGCCTCCTTCTTCCTTCTGTGGACAAAAGGTTCCCTTTCCCCTGGGGGCAATCTAGTTGAGGTGGTTCGAATGGAAATGCCCTGCCCAACACGCACATGTATGGACATGTGACTCAGGTCCAGCCAATGAAAACGCTTTGTCCTCTGGCCACCGTCACTGGCTCAGCAATGATCCCAGGATTCCAGGATCCAAACTGGGCCAACCAGACGACTTTCCTCCCAGAGCTGCAGAAGGAAGGTCTCTTTCTACTGCAGAGACTTGGGAAGTAGGACGAGTTTGGGGTGTTAGTGACCAGCCTCCCTGTCTGCGAGATCGTGAGGGGTGGGACCCTGACTGCACCAAGCAGACCCCGAGATAGTGCGCCTGTCTGCCTGCAGCCAGAGTCAGATCTCGCCCTGGAATTTTCATTCACGTGAGCCCCAATTTTCCTCCCCACCCCTTCTGCTAATGTGAGGAGGACTTCTGACATTTGAAGCAGAGTTCTGACTGGTTCAATCTGCAAGGCCTTCATCCTCACGGATGGAGCTGTGCTGTGGAGAGTCAGTTTCCTGCTTCCTTCCCTGGGTTGGTTTTATATGTCATACGTGCTGAAAACCAGTGGATTCCTTCTGGAACACCTAAGTTACAGGGACAAACTCCAGGCAGGGCACACGGAGCCTAAAAAACATTCTCCCAACTTGACTTCTCTCATTCGAATACTCACAATCCTGATCTGCTCCAACTGGTCTATGGATGCCTGTTGTGGGGTGAATGATGTCCTCCCAAATATGTGTTGGAGTCCTAACCTCCAGTTCTTCAGGGTGTGACCTCATTAAGAGAGAGGGTTTTTATGGGGGTCATCAAGTCAAAATGAGGGCATTGGAGAGCACCCTCATCTGTTAGATTGGTGTCTATAAAAAGGGAACTTTGGACACAGAGGGACGCATGCAGGAGAAGCCATGTGACGATGAAGGCAGAGACGGGAGTGATGCATCTACAAGCCAGGGGGTACCAAAGACAGCCAGCAAACCCCTAGAAGCTAGAGGGGAGGCACGGACAGGTTCTCCCTCACGGCCCTCAGAAGGAACCCACCCTGCCAACACCTTGATCTCAGACTTCAAGCCTCCAGACCTGGGAGACGATGGTGCTCTGTTGTTCTAAGTCACGGAGTTTTCGGTGCTTTGTTACGACAGCCCTAGGAAACTACTACATGCCCTAGACATCCTGGCCTCCTCACCGCGGTGACACCCTGTCTTCCCATCCCAAATCAAGCACCAGCTCACTGCACAGGATGTTTTTTATGACAACAGTAATGATCCCAGACCCAAGCCATTACTGGAAATCCAAAGGGACTGTGCAGATTCCTGGACTGCCTGCTTTGCTGTTTGCTGCTTTTGGGGTTGGCGTCATGCTTGAAAGGAGCGGGTACTCAGCTGGGAGAGGAAAGTCTTTCTTTGTTGGAAAGGAGGCTCACCTGCCATCAAGGGTCTCTGGCCTCATGATTCCTCTTATGTGCTTTATCCAGAACAGGTCAACCTACCGAGACAGAGCAGATAGGAGGCGAGCGCGGATGATGGAGGGGAACTGGGACGCCATCACTCAGCGAGTCTGAGGCGGTTTTATGGGTTGATAACAAAGTTCTGAGACTGGCAAGAGCTAATGCTTGTAAAACCTTGAGAATACACTAAAGATTATTAACTATAAACTTTAAAATGGTTAATTGTATGTTATATGAGTTTTAACTCAATTGAAAGAAAAAGAATCATTGGCCTCGAAGTGCTCTCCTGAGAACTAAGGAAGACCAGGAGCATACAGGCACAGCAGACCTTTCCTACCTGCCAGGAGGCCAGCCTCTCACCCAAGGAAAGGCCCGCCACAGTGGCCGTGTGACCTCCCTAAGTCCTGGCACCCTCAGCACAGACCCCTGAGCACAGATGACCTCGTACCATGTACAAACTGAGCACCAAATCTTCCACAAAGAACCGACGAACAGAAGTCACATTTGTCCAGGCTCCATCTGACTGTTCTTAGGTCAATGTCATTCCAAGGAGAAACAGGTAAAGACACAGACCCTAGGTAGGGCCCATTTGGATCCCAGGTCATTACTGTCAGCAAAAGCATCAAACCAACGGCTCCACGTGACTCCAAAGAAAAAGCAGCACATCACTCGTGCTTATTTCCTTAAGCCCCACTTCTTATAACCCTACCGTGTGACATCTCCACTGCACTGCCTGCAGACGTCCCGGAAACACTGTGATTTCTTGGCTGACACTGCTTCTCCAGACAGTCCAAGGGCCCATGCAGCCTGGCTGACAGGAGGACTATCAGGCTATAAGAAAGGACAGTTTTCGAGAGAGTTGCTGATTTTATAGTTTCCCAAGATAATCAACATTGGGCAGTTGGACCAAGAAGAGAAATCACACATTTATTTAAACTCAGTAAGGGCAAGCTGCCTTCTACTGCAGAGAGGACGGGCTGAGCCAGCAAGGCTGGCTCCCCTCAGATTATGATGGAGTCACTGGGAAAAAATGCCAATACGTCTCCCTCGCTCTGGGGT